GGCCCTGCATATAAACTTATAAATAAATACTTTTTTATACTTAAAATGGTAACTAGTGTGGCAAACTAGTTGTAAAGTTATTGAATTCCGCCACTGTTTACACCTGATGAAGATGTATAAACTTGCTCAAAAATGTTAGTTTAGCACAGTGTTTTTCAGCCTGTGGGTCGCGACCCCCAGAGAGGTCGCAAAGCCTTACACGGGGTCGTGAGTAAAAGAAAAAGACAAGTGTCTGTACGATCTTTTGAAAAACGTATTCATTTTATGCTCGTGTGGAGCAAAGCGCAAAGACAATACAATCACATGTGTACTAGTTGGCACACTCGAACAACTGACAGAAACAAAAGAAGGTGAGCGTACGTTACTGCGTGGGCGGCACAAGGCGCACTTGCCTCCAGCGCCCCCTTGGCAAAGTTACTATTTGCAGGGCTCTTGCGACTTCTTTGCACAGTACAATTGGTTTTTTGATCGATATTTAGGTCTCAACAGAAAAAAAAATTAAATACATAGTTTTTAAAATTACTGACATAATTTTAATATGGCCCTGGGAGGTCGCCAGAAATTTTTAACTTGTAAAAGGGACGTGTATTTAAGGTTGAAAAACACTGGTTTAGCAAAAGTTTTGTGCTAGATATTTAAAAGATTGTGGTATAAAGTTGCTTATAATATTCAGCTAAAAAGTAATAGTTTGAGATTTTACGACAAGATGGCACCATGAGTTAAACACACACTATCATATCTCAACATGTTCGAATTAGTAAGTACAACTGCTAATGACATAATATCACCAGTATCTGCCTATATAATCTGCATTGTAGTTGATGAGAGTAGTAGTAATAGATGGAAATGTAAATACAATCCTATGATCTTATAGGCAGATGTTAGAATGGCATACTTTGGTGTCAGACATTTTTAAACTTAAATGAATAAGTAATGAGATGGTCATAAAGAGCTAATTCTATTCAGTGCATAATGATGATGATGTTCAAACAAAAGTAATGAAATTTATGAAGAAAACAGTTTATTCCCATTGTGAAGAATCAGCTATATTGATATTTCTGAATTTACTAAAGTACAGAACCATGGTGGCCAAACTATGCTTGCAAGTTGCATGCAGCTCTCATATGCTTATACAACATTTTTTTATGAACTTGATACATACTAATTTGAAGGATATAACAAACTTGTTTTACCAGTATTTATCCAAAAATCCCTTTCCAGTTGTTATCAAAATAATTGGTACATATTATTTTCATATATATGTTACTGCTAAAGCTCGAAATCCGTTAATGTGTACATTACCTAGCTAATCTGCAGATTAACTAGGGTGATCCGTTAAAGCTGCGAAAATTGTTCAGTTTCTCAAATTACCTAGGTAATTTGCAGAGTATCTAGGTAATCTGCACATTAACGGCTTCCGTATCGTTAAAGTTCAAAAGTTTGTTTCTTTCACTTCCTTTCCCCACTCCTTCTTTTTACGTAGATAAATTTAAATCCTAGAATGCAAGCAAGCACCGAATTGGTGAGTAAAATCAAGAAAAGATTCTTCGCAAACCTCTTTAGCGAAGATTTAAAATATAATACGTAGTGTTTTAATAACAAACCAAAGTATGATTCCATAATTGAAGATGTAAAGCAAATAAAAGTTTCCAAGAAGAAAGAATCATCTCGAGATTATCAAATAATTCAAAGGTGTGATGTGTTGACTGTACGAGGCTGTGAAAAACTCATTGAGCCGTTGTCAGATGCGCGAGAAAGGTTTGAAAAAGTTTGTCCATGCCGGAGAATTGTTTGACATTCGATAAAAACTGAAGAAGACCTTGAAAAATTAGAAGATTCACAAGAGACTGTGATTATGAGATCACAGTCAAATCTTACTCAAGAGGACATTCCGTTATCCCCCGCTTCTACAGAATCACCTATAGAAATACAAGAATTTACCGATAGTAATCTTAAACTGCCTTCTATACCGTTGATTGATGATGCAGTCACGAAGAATATTCAGTTACCCTGCACCTCCAAGGAATCGCCTCTGCAAGTTGAAGAAGTCATCACTGAGTTACTCTCAACTTCAGCAGAATCGCCATCACAGTTTCGTACGGAGCCTGTAAAGAGCACTATACAAGACATAGTCTGTATTGTTTGCTCAAAAGCAGCATCAAGTGCTCACAAGTGTAAATCGTGTAATATGTTTGTTCACGCAGTTTGTGGTGAAGTAGATCCTAAAGAGGAAGGGTATGGTAAGAATGTATTGTGCATCATCTGTAAAAAGAATATGGATCAGAAAATACAGCGTGATGAAGCCAAGAAATGTTTAGAAAAGCAAGCAAAGAAAATGTTAGCAGTTTCTAATGCAAAGCACCCAAACGTCGATGAAGGTTTCGCTGTGAGAATTAAAGTACCCGAAGAAGACAGAGCAAAAACTGATGCACGTTCAATTTTAGCTGTGGTTCTTAGTAAAACAGAGGATGGCTTTTATAAACTTGATACTAAAACAGGTATTTTAAAACAATTGTATGCAAAATCTGAATTCAGTGTTTGCAAAGAGAGATTTTTAACGAAAGAAGATGGATGTCCCTGCTGTAGAAATATCTTTACGTCAAACAGCAATAAAACAATCCCTTGGTACTGGGCAGGGTTTCAGAAAATGTGACTGCAAATCTAAATGTACCACAAATAGGCGTGCTTGTCGCAAAAACCAATTGCTACGTAATTCAAAGTGTCACCAATCTTTAGATTGCACTAATAAGTAAGTACAATTTTATCATATGTTTTGCAAATTCATTTCCCTAATTGTAGTAATATTTTAAACCGTTTGATTTTTGTATTAAAGTTTTTTTAATTGATTGATGATTGATTCAATCAACTAATTTGTTGATTGTATTAACTTGATTCTTTAGATATTGAAAATTAAATAAATAACATTATGTTAATTTAAGCGTACAGAAACGTTGCTGTTGTTCCAGCAAAAATCTTATTTTCACTTTACCGAGTGCCTAGTAGGTAATTTGCAGATTACCTAGATAATCTGAACATTACCTAGGTAATTTGAGAAATGGAATAATTTTCGCAGCTTTAACGGATCACCCTAGTTAATCTGCAGATTAGCTAGGTAATGCGCACATTAACGGATTTCGAGCTTTAGCGGTAACATATATATTAATTTTGTAAGTTTTCTGACTATTACATAGTGTAAGTTGTAACTGAACCTCAGACAACTGAAAAGTAAGCATACATTCATAAAGTCAAAGAAGTTGAAAATTAAATATCACTAATTAATTTTTGTGATGAGAATGATGGCATGGCATCTACCAAGACTGCTTGAAAGGTACTCAGAGAATGGAAATGAACTCCAATTTTTTTTTTTTTTTTTTTTAAATATAAAATATTTGTTGTTGCATTTAAGAGACACTATGCAACTTGTAATGGATTATGATGATAATTGTGTGTTATTTTCAAAATGACTTTTGGGCATCATCAGTATCATGCTCATATGCTTCTACAACCTAACAAGGTTGTAGAAGCATATGAGCAGTAAAAACTGAAAGAAGCAAGAAGGAAACTAAAAATGTTTATGTGATCTGAAATTTTTTGATATGAGTTTACATGTCTTTAGTATACAAGATTGGTGCAGCAATGTAACATTTTAAATCTTATGAAGGATTACACTTGGACTTCATTCTCTCCAGATTTTTAGCTTGTATAAGAATGGTTACAATTCTTCTTAGCAGACAGAACTTTTTTAATATTTTATTTTTATGTATTTATTTGTTAAATAAAGATTGTTATTAACTAATTTCAGTGCTGTAGACATAGAGTGATAAATGGTAACAGATAGGATTAATGTGTTGGATCAAAACTCAAACCTAGGGTCGATGGCAGGCTGATACTTTTATCATTTCGGGCAGCCATTTTGCATTATCTTTGTATTGCAATAAAAGATTATTTAAATATTGTAATTTAGAGATTAAAAATCATTTAATGTTATTGATATGTATAAACGTAGCTTTGATTGTAGGTTACCAATGTATGTGTTTATCAAAAGATTTTTCACTGTATTTCCTTAATTATAATATGCACTTTTTATCACTTTTGCTCATCCAAAATAGAGTTGTGTCTTTATAGTCCATTTGCATTTACTGCAGTACAAAACAATGATTGGAAGTTGTTGCTGGCAGATTGTGTGATATATTATGCACCAGTAATACACATTATTGGATTTACTGCTCGACAGTCACATTACTTCATATGAGCTTTGCTGGTTTTGCTGATAATGACCATTTAATTTAAACTCCATTTTAACATGTAAAGTGTTTGCTAAGTGACATTACAATGCAGCATTAAGACAAGGTTACAGTAATACCTTGACTTATGCTACCCCGACTTACATGAACCCGGAGTTACGTGATTTTCAAATCTCATCAATTCGTCTTTTGTTTGAACACCACGCAACTCTTGATTACTCCCCCCCACACTATTGTTTAGCTTACATGTTTGGATGTGCCACGCAGAATCGACACATAGCTACAATTTATTTTGTGTTATTTATTTCTGTGTTTATTATATCTACGGAGACTTGAGAGACTCTATGTGGTGATTTCTTGTAACCGTGAATGAATCAAATTGCGAGATAAGGTTAACGAGAACATTTATTAGCTTACATACATCAGATTTGGATTTTACACAAATTGAGAAATTATACCTCGACTTACGCGAATTCGACTTACGCAGTTATTGCTCAGTCCCACCTATCGTGTAAGTTTGGGGTATTACTGTACTGTATTTGTGGACAAGAGTGGAAATATGGCTGCCAAACTATAAAAAATTATAAAATTTAATTTTAAATGCACTGTATTTAAAGTTTATTTAGTTACTTGATGACAGTAGCATGGATACAAATAGGCTTAAGCTGAAAATATTTGTTGATAACATTTTCATTTGTTTAAGTATTGTTGAAATTTTTTTTACGTTTATTTGATTTGATTTATTATATTTTGCAGCGGGATTCAAATGGAATGTCTTTTAAACTAAAGGCCAGCGACAATCAAATAGTTGTCATTCAGATGAAAGAACCAGTAAGTTAATTTAATTGAATAAAATTTAATAAAGTAAGAGACTTCATTATGTTTCCTATTAATATGAAACAATAAAACTAATGTAAACTTATTTTGTTTATTGTTTTTTGTTTTTTTCAGTTTTCTGTTTAATAAATGAAGTTTATTTTTTCATATTTTATTGCAATTAATAAAACCATCTCCAGATATGAGATATGCTTTAATGGAGTATTGCAAACAGCTGTTATATAGCTTTGAAGTAGTTTCATGTTATCTCGCTCATCTCCAGGAAAAACAAACAAGAACATTTTTTATGTATAACGTCCTTTTAATCCAAAGAATTTTCCTTGGTAGACGATCTTACAGCATTTGGTTAGAAAAATATGAATTTATTTAAAAAAATTTGAACTGAAATGCATTTCGGGTTGGCTTATGTTTCCAACCCCTCTTCAGTGCTATTAAAAAATACACAAATTGTAATAAGGACAGGACATGATTTAAATACTGTATTACGTAAAAAGATTTCTACAATACAGAATTTATGTCTCATATAATGGTACATATTAAAAAACAATATTTTTATCTTCCATAGGTTTATAACAACTCACTATAATATAAAAATATAAAATATTGTGGTTTAAAACATATTATATAAAACTTTATACACTTTAACAGTATGAAATGTATTCATTTAAGATTTTCTATAAAACTTACAATTTTTAGAAATTACATCTTATTTCCATTAAAGTGGGTGGGTATTAGTCCAGAGTAAAAACATACAGACAAAAAGTGTTATCCAGTATTAATCTAATTTATTCTAATTTATTCCAAACTATCCCGTACAATGGTCTTGGAGTGCGTTTTTTTAAACAATGCAATTTTTAACTAAACAATTTTTAACACGTGGAGGTGCCCTCTATTAATTTATACCAGTGTTTCTCAATGGGGGCGATATCGCCCCCATGTGGGCGTTTTTCCGTGTTGAGGGGCGATTAGTAACAATTTATATTTTGGGGGCGAAAAACAATTTTCTGGGCGATACAGTAAAACATTATATTAAGAATAATTAGATATTTTATTTGTTATATTGTACAATAATTAAACAAATAACATTATACTAGTCACTAGTCTATTCAATGCAGTATAAATTTGTCGTTAGTCTTGGTCCTCGGCATTGGAATTTTGAAGTGAAAGGGGCGATAATAGGTAACGGTTTTATTGAAGGGGCAACGATTCGTTAGAGGTTGAGAAACACTGATTTATACCATTGAGAATCAATTAATATACCTTCTGAAATATTGACTAAGTTTCTTTTGGGTTTCTTGGGGGTTATTTCTATATCCTCTTTAAATTTTCTTTTGTAAGTCTGAGACTCTACTAGTGTAAAAACCTTTGCCATAAAAGCTTTTAATCACATGACCTATTTGCATTTGTGTCTGGATTGTGGTGGAGGTCCGGCTAGCAAAGTTTTTATGGTGATGGTACTATCGAAGTTATAAAGACGATAATTATATTCTACGAGTTTTTCCTGTACTATTCATATAATTACAAATGTAGTAAAAATAATATCTTTATTAACTTTTATTATCATATTATTAATTAAGATAATATACAGCACTTATAAGCTTAGCTTTTTTTATTATATACACCTCTAAATTGAAGAATTTTCCTTTGGCCGTCCATATCGCATATTTTAGCATCTATTATTATAATCGGGATACTTCTTGTCGTAGACACATGAATACTTTCGGATGTTTTTGATAAATCTTTCCAGATCTATTCAAGAGTAGCCACGAGGGAACATACACAAAAGCTTGTTTTCTGCCATTTTCGCACTGTGTCACCGTGTCAAATTGATTTGACAATTATTATTTATTATGTGATTATACCACGGGGAAGTGTTATGTCCAAGTCAAATAGCTGCCTCATGTTCTTTAATTCTTCTTTCTAATAAATGGCCTGTTTTGCCAATATAAGTTTTTGAATTATAACAGTTACATTCCACTCTATAAACTGTCCCTATATTTTTAAGATTTTTTATTTTATTGTTATGTTATTTATTAATGTTGTTATAAATGTTATGCGATATTTTGTTGGTCAAAGATGGTGCCAAACTGATATTATCTTTCTTAAGGATCTTATTACAACTCTCAAAAATTTCTTTCCCTGATTTTCCCTGACCAACTTTGTCCAAATTCCCTGACCCTCACATTTCTTAGTGTGGAATATCGACATAATAAAACAGCATTTACTGTGAACATTGAGTACATCTATATACGGAAAGGTTTTGTATTTTTTATCTAATTTGTATTTCATATTATATCTGTTATATTATATATATCTGTTTCCAGTATTGTTTATTCCATGTATTTAATTTTGATTTAGGATAGTTAAGTATAAATTTAGTTTCCAACTCTTTTAGTTTAATTTTTTTCCATTTATTATCTGATATTCTTGTATACATGTTTTTTAATTCCATGATATAAGTATTCTTTTTTATATTTTCTGGAATATATGAATAGCACTTTATAGTTTTATTAACAATACAGGGCTTCTTGTATGTTATAAAAGTAATTTATTAAGTTTATTTGCTATTGTTATATCTAAGTAATTAATTTTTTCCTTTTTCTATATCAAATTGAATATTTTTGTTAATGTTGTTAACAATGTTAAGAATAATATTACTGTTTGTTATATTCCGAGGCAACATTTTCTTCTTTGTTTTTCTAAAGTTGAATGAGGCAACTCCAAAGTACTCTAAAGCTATGTAATATAAATAACAAATAATATCCAATTTGTCTGTATCATCAAACGATCTGCCAGATTATCTGTCTAGCTATTTTAAGGCTTGTAAATATTTAAATACAAGTCAATTTGGCTAGAGGTCGTGGTTATTTCTAATTAAATTTACCACGAGATGGCATATGACCACCTATGTCTAGTCAAATTGATTTGTATTTAAATATTTACTAGCCTTAAAATATCCGGACAGACACTTGGAAGATTGTTTAGCTATGTAATGGTAATGGTTCTTTAAAAAAATATATGACAATCAGAAAGTCGGCCACGGCCTTAAAAATAATCTTCATAAAATTTGATCCTAAACGTACAAAATTTCTGCAGAAAGCGACATGGATCACCAAGGTGGCATTTGTATAATGAAACAGGCACGTCAATTCTCCTTTGCAGCTCATTATCTCTTGTTTTGTATCTGTCACTTTTATGATATTGTGCAACAACCACACACTAAACACTACCATTTACTGGCAGAGATTATAACTAAAATGTTTGAAATATTTCTGTGAAAAACTATATACAGGGTTCTTACTCAAATTTTTGTTTTGAATTCCCTGACCAACTTTGTCCAAATTCCCTGACCCTCACATTTCTTAGTGTGGAATATCGACATAATAAAACAGCATTTACTGTGAACATTGAGTACATCTATCCCTCTTTTTGCACAGTTGATATGCTTCAAAGACTGCCACATTAAAAAAATACAGTACGTACATCCTGTAGAAAAATATTTGATAGAATCCACAACTTCAATGTAATGAAAAAATAAGCAATTTACAAACAAAACAAGAGCTTTTTATTTTATTTTTAAGTTAACATTGGTTAAACTATCGGATTACCTGTTGATTTTCGAAAATATAACTACAGTATATTTATTACAAATATGATCAATCTTGCCAGTTTTTAAGCCCTAAATTTTCCAAAATCAGTGATATTTGTTACCCAACGTCATTTCAGTTAAACTAATTATTAAACTATGTATTGAATTTGTGGAAAAAAACAAGAGAGGAAAAATACACTTGCAGTACAGTACTTTCAAGGAAAATTGTAACAACAAATATAAAAAGCTCGTGCCAATAATAAGTCAGTGCCAGTATTTTACTGTAAACGTCAGGTAACTATTTATAATTTTTTATGTTGTGTAGTAATATTTTAAACGTGAAAAACGATTAAATTACAGATTTTTACTGATCTATTTAGCAATTTTGAAGTGAACATTCTAATAAATTACAATTTCAACTTTTAAAAGTTTGCAAACAAATTTTTAATTAACAATTTCATCTTTTTATAATTTCCTGAATTATTATTAAAATTAAAAATTAAACACTATTATATAAAAGTAGTTTATCCTATTATTAATCCACAACTGTAAAATTATATGGCTTCAGAACAATGAAAAAAGTCATTTCAAAATGGATTCTGGTGTATTTTCTTATTAAAGATTGCAGCATTACATCTTGCCATCTGCATGTTGCAGGTGGCAAGATGTAATGCTGCAATCTTTAATAAGAATGCTATGATTGGTCATCCATATTCAGCAAACGAGATCAACAACGCAGTTAAGGAGACAAATTCCCTGACTTTTTGACAATTTTCGACAAATCCCCCGACTTTCTCTGACTTTCCAGGTGCGTAGGAACCCTGTATATATTTAGGATTAAAGTTCATTTAGATGCAAATTTTAAAGTTTTGCCTGGCTTTTAGATTGCATGGTATATAAATATATGAATTAAAACTAGTAAACTGGTGAATTAAATAATGCATGTATTCTCTTATACAAAGACATATATTTTATCCACATACAGTATATTAATTTCAGTGAATCAAAATAAAATAGAAATCATTAAATTAACTATCATCCATGCTGAATATACGGTATATGGCATAAGTATTCTTATTTTAAATTCATTTTATGTATGTATTTGAAAATGTTTGTTTTGTATTATTGAGCAATATTTTTGAAAATCAATTTTCTTGCACTTTTTTAATTTTAGATACAAGATTCCTTGGAAGGATTGGTCGAAGTACAGGGAACGGTGACGCCGAGAAATAGTGTCTTGTGTGATCATTACGTTGAATTTCCTTCTGATTCAGCATCAAATTTTGGTATGTCAATAAAAATCTTAATATATTACACATTCTTTCATTGTATATTTCTAACATAATGTGCCTGCAGAAGCTTTTTCATTAAAAAGTCAACATTTGAATCATCTCATTTTATCTTAAATTAATAGATTATATATACTTTACAATATTAAAACAAAGTTTAAAAGTTTTAAATATGACAACTGCTTTTATATTTTAATTGATAACTGGATTACTAAGATGATAGTCGCTGCTCTGAGGAACTTTGGAAATTTTCACGAGCGGTTTGACCTGAATATCTCATGCTCTGTCTCTTGCCCCTCAGCCATTCAATTTGGGAATCCAAACCTGTGATGAACAGAAAAAAGGATTTTTTGATGTCTGCAGCATGGAAAGAATTAAATTTGAAATTAATCTTATCTTAGTTGTTCTGCAGTTCATTCTGACTTGATTTGTCTTATAATTAAATTTTGAAAAATGTTTTTATATATCAAGAGAATTGAATATTGTAATTATTTTTCAGATATGAATCTTTATAACGAAGCAGTTCAGCTCATGGCCCAATATCCAAATTACTACATTACATTTTAATTTCATCAGTGGGAGAAAAAAAAATTTTGTTTTGCATTTATGTAACAGATTTACACAAATGCTAAATGGTATGTAAACTAATTTTCACACTGCAAGAATTGAATTAAACAATAGAAAGGTCTGGAAGATAATGAAAGTGATTTACAAATTGCAAACAACTTTATATAAGTAAAACATCTTCCATTTAACTTTTGTGAATATTATTTGTATGATTTGATATTTCATCTTTTGACAAGTGAAATCTGTACCTTATTGGTGAAGAAAGTTGTATTTAAAATAAACATTTTCAGTTTTCTTAACAGATCATTCACAGGTCAGTTATAATTGGATTCAAAATACATCAAAAATATTTAAACTATGGAGTGTGTGCAGAATGCATTTAGAATTGTAACCCGAGGACAGTCTGTCAAACAAATTGAATGCATTTGTTTTAAACATAACCTAAATCACCATTAAGATACACTTTTTTCTTTACAGTCACCAACGACTACTGTCCATTTCCGGTTATATTTCGTTTGTGCAGACCAGACTAGCTCAGATGTTTGGTCTCAAATTGATTATTCAATAAAGATTTTTCACCGGTAAGGACAGAATTAAGAATGCATTTGCACAAATATACTTTAGCATTACTGTACTATACAACATTGAAAATATGCTTAATTAGCAGAGATTAGCATAAGAATTTAGTATACTAGAATTTATATTGATTTTAACTGGAAATAACAGTAATTGGAATTTATTGGCAATGTTACTAATTAATGTGTATTAGTATTATCATTTATACATCTATAATTTTAATCCTCTTAATGTATACAAAGATATAATTTGATTTATATAAAGTATATTTGGAAACACTTGATATAAATATTGATGCAGCCAAAAGTACATAAATCAACTAAATAAAGATGAAAAAAATGTCACACTTAATAGTGTTTGAGCAACAAATAAATAAACATCAATTTAATTTACGAAAAAAATCAACTTACATTATCAATAATAATAATGTAACTAGAACTACTTAAATTCAAATAATTCATTAATTGAATTTAAGTCGAAATCATTTGTATTGAGTAGAAAAGGATAGTACAGTGGTGCCTCGTATAACGTACTTAATCCGTTCCAGGTGCACGTCCATTATACGAAACGCATTTTCCCATAGAAATACATGTTAAAACATATAATTCGTTCCGCAGCATAAAATAATCGTACTGTATCATAAAAAATGAAAATGGAGCAGACACCAATTATGCCGGGTAGTCAGATGTTGTGAGGAGGAGGTGGAAGAACACTTTCTTTACATATTCATATAGATACAGACTTTTTACACGTTGCAGCGGGTCTTTTTTTATTGTTTTTTAATCGGAGTCAGATTCAGAAGAGGCTACCGGAACTTGCAGGGTCAACTTCTCTTGTTTCATGCTTTGTTTTTTGTCCGCTGGCTTCTTGAAAAACATGACCAAGGTGGTCTGTTTTTCTTTCTTCTTTAACACCTGTCGGAAATGACGGACAAAGGTGTCATCGTAGAGATCATTGATCCTGTTGGCCTCAGCTCTGTTTGGATAATGAGTGTTGGTAAACTCCTGAACCTCTCCCCATTCGACAAGAAAGTTTTTGTCAACTTTCACTCCTGATGATTTCTTGCTTTGTTTCAATTGAAATCACCTTTCTGTTTTTTTAGAAGCCATGATGCATTATAAATGACTTAACTTGCCAGATTATATGATACGAATAATTCTTTATTAATTAAGATCACTAAACACTTCTACGAGCTACTCTCGCTCCGTTTGTTTTTTACAACCTCTTTTCGTCCCGCCACCTCGGCATCTACACAATTACATTTCGTTTATTTGAATCGTCAACATATACTGTATTACATTACATTTAATGTTTATTTAAATCATCAACATATATTACATTACATTTCTACTTCAGATATACTAATAATACATTCTAATAATACTAATATATCCTAAAAATAGCAGATTGTCATTGGCAACGGCAAAAGAGTGGAAACATCATTCGCACTTGTTCGAAGAAAGTCCATTGTTCGTCTCACGTAACTGCCGAACGGAAAGTCCGTTGTTCGCGTCACGTAACGGTCAAACAAAGTCCGTTATTCGAGGCGTACGTTATACGAGGCACCACTGTATATTTAATTTTGTACTTAACTTCTTACAAACTTTGCTCTTATTTTTGATTTCTGATTATAAAATGTTTGAAAACTTGCTATAAGTTGTCCTGAATGAACAAATGATGTGTAATATTGTTAACGACTCAGCAGTGACCAACGGATATATCCATCAACAGCGATTGTGTGGCAGTGGTGAACAACGGATATCACCAAAAGAAAATTCACATAAAAACAGGAATTATGTAACAATAAAAAAAGACATTTCTTTATTAGATGTAGCTGTTTACAAAATCTTTTTCCAAAATGGTAATGAGAGAAGATGAGTGGGAAAATACTTAAAAAATTTTCCATGTTTATTCTCTACTATATAGGGATAGCACCATATCTGACTAACCCACTTGCTGAACTATAAAAATAAAATTTTGTATATTCAAGAGAGATGACAATAAACTTACTATTAACCTGTTATATTATAAACTGTATAACATGTACAGGGTTCTTCTCAAATTTCTTTTAAATTCCATGACTTTGTACAAATTCCCCTACCTTCACATCCCTTACAATATGACACATTAACAAAATAAAATGTCACTTGACTTACTATACACATACACTATCGATTTTCTCCAACTTTTTAACTGGTTATTTTTTCTAATCAATGAATTGGTAAAATTAAAATAAAGAATTATGGCATGTCTTCTCTACATAAAACTAAAATATTTTATCCTGTTATTAACTCATAACTCTAAAATTTCATGGCTTTGAAAAATGCCATTAATTATTATTAAAAAATTCTGTATAATTCATGTATAAAATTTTAAAGTATAAATTTATCCTTTAATGAATTTTCCAAGCTTTATAAACTGGAAAAAAGTTTCAGAAATAGTTTTGTTATGCAACCATAATTATTAAAATGAAAAAGAACTTAACAAAAAATTAATAATAATAATAATCATCATTTTTGGTTAAGTTATTTTTCATCAATTCATTAACAGCTGCCTTCAAATTGAAAGTGTAAATTGTGAGAGTTAAAAATTTTTATCATCATTAGATTGAAAGAAAAATTGAATACTTTCGTAAGTTGCATTGTACCACAATACTTCTTGCTGTTTGCAGACAGCTAAAATTGGTCAGCAAACAAAATCAACAAGGCAACCAAGGAAACAAATTCCCTGACTTTTTCTGAACACTAATAAAAATCCCCAACTTTCACTGATTTCCTGACTTTCCAGGTGCACAGGAACCCTGTACATAACTGTCACAGATGATAAACATATTTGAAACTAAATAATTATCTCAAACTTCCAATTATTTAATTCATTAGAGACAAGAAGCTTACTACTATATATCTAAAACTTAGAAAGTTGCTAATGTAGCAGTGAATAAACTATTGAATTATAATATTGAAAACTATAGTTGGTTATGCATTGTCTCTGACTGACATGGTTTTTCGGGTTTGCTTTGAGTGTCTAACACACACATACACAGAATATAGGCCCACTTTCTATAGAAAAATCTCAGGAGGCACTCTAATTGCCTACGTGTTGCATTGCCTTATTCCGTCAATCGATCCAAAGTTTCTAATTATCTCAATCCTCAAAATAAAGTTTTAAACCAAAGGAGAACATTCCAAATAGTTATAATTTTCCAGTACTAAATCTTGGGATTATTCATAGTTAATTAAATTGCAATAGGCCAATCAGTGTCTTGTTAAGTGTTCCATTTTTGCCTCTTGTGCAAATTTGTGAAGTGTGGAGTATTATTTTATATCAGTAAATGTTAAAAACATGGTTGAATTAGGGTTTATGTTTTTTTTTTTTTTGGGTGTGTGTGTAAGATGGTGACGATTGAACTTTTAGGCTTCTGGCAGACCGAATGCATTATTTCATACTCAAAAGGCATAAAGCGTGCAATTGGAATTGCATGCTTTATGCCTTTTGAGTCCCAACGTATTCCATAACCCTGCTGGTACGCTAGGTACTAAAATAATACATGCTAATGACATGCAAACTAGTAGTATATAGTTTATTTTCATCTGTCTACTGGTCAAGTTTAGTTTGAATGTTCTTTGTCACAGATATTTGCTTAATTAGGGTTGCATAATGGAAACAATAAAAATAAAATTGTTGCCAAAACCTTGAAGATCATGTTAGAATCTCTTAGGTCATGTGCAAGCTGGGGGGTTGCTTGTTACTGGTAAACCAGTAACAAGCGACCTACAGCTTTGACCATCAGCATGACCCATATATATACTTTTATTCTAGCAATTTTCTATAAGACCTTCATGTAACCTGCTCCACCCTAAATCCCACATGTGGAAGCAGCCAATGCTCCATTGGTGCGATTTGTTACAGTATCAAAACCTAAAATGCAAAAATTTAGCCAAAACTAATGTTCGTTTTATGTTATGACCATTTAAAGGTGAAGAAATTGTATGAAAAACTAGGTAAAGGAAGCAAATGCAGTGCTTGGGCCTTGGTGCCAATGCACTTGATGTCTCTGGTACAAATGCATAAAATGGCGTTTTTTTCACAGAATTCTGTGAAGTTACATAAATATACTTTTCAATAGTGTTGAAGTGAAACTAAGGCCAAGACTCCACTAGCATAAAAACAGACGTAAAAACCTTTGCTGTAAAAGCTTTTAATTAATCACGTGACCTATTTGCATTTGGATTGTGGTGGAAGTCCGGCTAGTAAAGTTTTTACGGTGACGGTACTATCGAAGTTATAAAGACAATGATTATATTCTAAGAGTTTTTTCTGTACTGTAATTACAAATGAAGTAAAAATAATATATTTACTTTCATATATTAACTTTTATCATATTATTAATTAAGATAATATACAGCACTTATAAGCTTATCTTTTTTATTATGTACTCCTCTAAATTGAAGGATTTTCCTTTGGCCGTCCATATTGTGTATTTTAGGTATCCATTATTATAATTGGGATACTTCTTGTCATAGATACACAAATACTTTCGATAAATCTTTCCAGATCAATTCTAGAGTAGCCACGAGGGAACATACACAAAAGCTTGTTTTCCGCCATTTTTGCACCGTGACACAATGACCTAGATTTCACTGACTTCTGATTGGTGGGTGGTACCGTTTTATGGCTGTATTCACATTGACAGCTTTTACGACCTGCTCAGGTGTAAAATATGGTCACGTGATTAAAAGCTTTTATGGCAAGGGGTTTTACACCCATTTTTACACTAGTAGAGTCTTGGCCTAAGCCAAGGCTGTTGGCAGTCCCCATTAAGAAGAGACTACAAAAAGTTTTGAAAAAAGTAATGTGGAAGTGTCCACTGGAAGTGAGATTTCTATCACAAGTTCAGTTGAGGTGGTGCTTAAGGTCTGGAGTACTCCCTCAATACCAAATTTTGTTATTTTAAAATAAATATAAATGTAATAATGCAAATCGCACAACTTCAATTTGTTAAGGTTAGGAAACTAAAGTTATTCTAAGGTAATTGAGTAACATTCTCCGAAAAACGATAGGGCATGTTCCTCTCGCCCTCCCAAATCTGCCTCAAGTGGCACCCACATTCTCAAAATTCTGGACATGCCACCGAATTTGGTAGTTCGCAAACAAGAGTAGAATAGTTTAGTCAGAAAGTTTAATGGCTGTATTGACACCAACAATTAAGAGTTGGTTGTGAATAAGTTGAGTAATGGCCATAAGCAAACAGGTGAGACAGGTTTTCGCTTGCATTGCACCAATTTATCAAAGTTGTGTGTTCTTGCATCTGCATAAAAGAAAGTCAGGTCTTAAAAGTGGCTCACAATCCTCTCAAAAGTATCTATTAAGAGAAGATTTTGTAATTTACAACAAGAAAAGGTACATTTATAATAATTTTATAATGGACAAATTTGTGGTTACTCAAAATTGTTTGAGTGGAGATTTCATGGTGACTAGATTAAATAGAGAGGTTTTGTTGCCCATTGGTAGCAGGCACGTGTGAAGTTAAGTACACAGGTATACCCAAATGCATGCACGAAAAAACTAGATTGGCATTTATTGCCTCCCATTTCTTTTGCCAAATTGTCATTCTGTTCTAAGGTCTAGCTCAACTTCTCAGTATTTTTTTTTTCCTACTGCTCCTAATCAGGAGTCATGGCAGTCAGAGACTAGGGTTTCTCAAAGGGATCCCAGTTGATTTTTTAACCCAGGAAATCCTGCAAATTTCTTAAAAATTCACTTTTTTATTATTTTGTGTTTAGGTTGAGGAAATTTTGCAAATAGAAATTATAATTAACTCAAACTGTCAGAATACATTTGTACAGGTATACCTCGCCTTACGTCGGTAATTGGTTCCAGGAAAACGACGTAAGTCGAATTTACTTGTCTCCGAATCTACTTGTCACTAGGCTAAACCATAAATTACCATTTCCGGTTCTGTATTTTATTTATTAATGCATTTTTAATAATATATAATTAATAAGAATCTATTTTAAGCTTACAAACAAATAAATTTTAGTTTTTAATAGTACAGAAAAAAGTAATCTAAATTTACGAATGCATGTACTGTAAATACAGTACATACTTGTAAATGTATATATTTTAATATGATTTTATGTGCTTTAAACGCTTTTCTAGTGATATTACGTCTTCAATATTTGTGGCGGACAGACGTAAAGTCGAATAAAATGACTTAAACTTGATTTTTATTTTTCCATATACTTTTTTGACAAACGACGTATAGTCGGGAATGACGTAACTCGAAACGACGTAAGTCGAGGTATACCTGTATTTATTCATTTTAAACCTACTTATTAGATTTTTTAAATTTTTGCTTGTTATGGCATGTCACAAATGGTCAATAATCAGTATGTAGCTTATTTGTGGCAGGACTCTCAAAATTCTTTACCTGTAATATCTGGAATAATTGTGCTTATGCTGTTTTAATTTTTAATCATGCCCAGTAGCTTCAATAACTGCATAATGCCAAGTTGTGCAAATTGGGCAAGGATACAAACGAATATGAAGTCTGCATGAATGAATTTTTTCATCATAACCTGATTATTACAGACAAATGAACTGCCGAATTATTGGGCTATGATGTTTCTATTAAAGCAGTCGAGGGAGACAAATCAAGAATACTAGAGAACAAAAGAAGTACTACAATCTCAAACAAACTCGAAATCTTTCAGGATACAGGTGAAAAACACAATATTTGTCTTCTGTTAAATGCTTTAAACACGATTCCACTCACATCAATTGAATCAGAAAGGGCATTCTCGGTAGCAAGACTTTTCATTACTAAAATAAGAATTCGATTGACTATCTTTGCTTTTTAAAATATTTTGTATTATATTTTATTTAAAAAACGAAAATTTCCCTCTAACTGTAAGTTAGAAGTTTGATCTAAGTTCATTTTTTTTTAATTTTTAACTCAATTCCAAGCATTTTTTGTTGTTGTTGTATGCAGTTTCCAGCAAACTTTAATTAATTTTTTCTATTTGTGAAAATTTCTACATAATTCAAAGGTGATTTTTAATATATATCTTACACGGCATTATTAATATGATTTTGGAGGTTGCAGAATGTATTAAATTACTTTAGAAAACAAAAAATAATTATATTTGATTTCATGATATTTTGTATATCTTAAAAATAATTTAATCTTAAAAATAATTTTGTCCCGGGATCCCAGGAAACAGTTCACTTTTATCCTGGAATACCAGGAAATGAGAAACCCTAGAGACCAATTATATATATATATATATATATATATATACATACATACACAGGAGTCAGAGTTGCAGATTTTTGGGGGCAATTTCACTGCCCCAAACACCCGAAGTAATTCTAAAAATCATTTTCTTAGGTAGTGTGCAAAATTTCAAGATTTTTTATAAAGTGGTTGTTGAAATATAAGCAATTGAAAAGTGCAAATATTGTCAAAAAAGCCATATTTTCTTGTTCTTTTTTTTCATCTGGCACTGCAGACACTTGTAGAGAAACTACTACTACCGGTCTAGAAAGCTCAAATTTTATGGCTTAATTTTATGCTCGTAAGGATAAAATTGCACGGAAACAAATGAATTTTATTCAAAATGTTACTTGGAAGCATTGGTCAGTGGTGCATTTCTTGTCTTTACTTGGCAAAATTTTATTACATCAAAATTTGACAATTTAGATGACAGTCAAAGTTTTTCTATCTCAGATGTTTTTGTTTGGTATATGGCACAAGAACCACATTTCTGCTGACTATATTCTACTCTGTTTCCTTACATTTAAGATCCAAATTTCCCATAAGCAAGAATGGTACCCAAGATGCATTGTTTGTATTTTTTGGATCTACCTAATTACACGAAACATATTCTTACAACAAGATTGCCTTTACTTCAAACTGGCAACTACTAAATGATTTTGTGCAGCAATGCGCACCTATTAAAAATCTGTTGAGAACAAATTCTTGGTATTACATCATCATCCTAGTTATAACTAACTAACATTTAAAACAAATCTCAGTCATTTGATTTTTTCCAAATGTAAATTTTAATGTAGTTCTTTTGACAGATGATCAAATGTACAGGTGATTAGAACGTGTTGTGACTGTTTGTTCAATACTCAAACAAAAATGCATAGATTCGTTCGTATCTACATTAGGAGTTTCATAAAAGTACCGGAAGATCATAATTTCAGCGTTTGCATTTGGACTGTTAACTCTTTCTCGGGACCATTTCCATTATAAAAAAAAAATTAGTACAGTAGAGTCCCGAAAACTCGGCCTAATGTAGACCAAAGGGTGGCCGAGTTTGTGAAAATGCCGGGTTATCGGGATGGGGTTAAAAAAGAATAAGTATGAGTGTTTCCTTAGAAAATACTGTACTGTACTTGTATGTATTGTTTGCTTGAAAATACAACAGAGAATAAACTGCCCAAATACCCTTAAACAAAGGAAAAGTACATACTTTATGAAGGCCTTTACTACATAAAAATGAAAATTAATGAATACACAGTGTACAGTAATTTACCTGATAAGACAGACATCAGAAAAATACTTTAAGAGGCATAAAGCTGCCTATAATGAAAACTAACTAGGGGGTTTTTCACCCTGCCAGGGTGTGGCTGAGTTATCCGGACTCTACTGTACCAAAACTTGCCACTATGGCACTTTTGGTGCTCATGCAATACAACACTTGTGCTATATAGTCTGTAGAGATGCTGGAATACTGCTCAACATGGTACCTGTTCTGAAGGCATGTTTGATGGCCAACCAGTGACTATGCTTTTTGCATGCAGTGTGATACTGTCTTTCAGGAATGCAAAATTTAGAACATACTCTCTCTGTATGTGAGGACAGTTAAAGAGTGTTTTGTTATTATTATTCTATTATTTTTTACAAAATGTATGTGTCTCGAAATTCCTCCATATCAGATTTGGCTGCATTTGAGCTGCTAAATTCTCTGTAGATAGCACTAAATAGAGGTACTTTAATTATGACCATCCGATACAATAAGCTTTATATCTTTTGAAACCTTGATTTTTTTTGTGCAACCTCAAGTGTGACAATATCTGTGACATTAATCTTAAGGCATTGTTAGCTAACATGATACATATGGAGAAATCAATTCAAACACCACAGATACTGAAATAGTATTTAAAAATACAGTATTAATTTTTGGCATATTTACTTGAGCATAGTTTCAAAAATAGCCCAAAATTGTATAGATTCATATAGCTGAATTAATTTTGCCACTTGTCGGAAATGATGTGGCTGTTGCAAAACAAAAACAAATCAAGATTTCGCCAGACCAGATTACCCTCTGTGGCACAATTATCACAGTGTCTGTGTGGATGAGACTGGTCGGCCTCATCCGCTGTTCACGGAATCCAAAGACATGCACTTGCAGTTACAGGCGGTCACTGGACATTCTGAGTGATCTCTGTAATAGAAATATAAAATATATAAGTATATTTGTCGTTTCACAATTGCAAAAAATTTCTCTCACTAACATAAACCATTCCATAATGTGAGCAGAGTGTCCGCCGTGTCGACAGGACTGACACCACGTGAACCAACTCGAAAATTTGGATAGCTTCTTATCCTTCATTTCTGAAAATAAATGGATTAGCTTCTCTATTCTAAGAGTCAACATATGCAAATTTTCACTGCAACTTAAAATATGATGTGTTTGTTGAGGAACAGTATGTCAAATAAAAGCGAATTACCTATTTTTCCATCTGTAGTTCTCCTCCAACAACTACCCGATGGAGTACCCATGTTTGTCAGGCAGAGAGCACAGCGTGGCAACGGTTTTCTGCATCCCGGACAACAACTTGTCTGAAAAAGAATTCCGATGGTTCAAATTTTTAACAACATAAATGGGTGGAAAAAGTTTCTCTCACCTTGGATTTGTTTGCGGCTGGGATTGCCAACCGTGCCAGGGGACGTGAACAATGACCCTGACCCAACATCTGCAGGTAGCTCGAGACTGACTTGCCGCAAAAATTGCAGCTGACGAACACATGCGGCGGCGGCTTACTAGAGGGATTGGCTTTATACCATTCTATGTCAAATACGGCCCTAAAACAAACAAATTAAGATTTAAATTAAAACTTACCGGGAACATTTTATGGGAATTCTACCTGCCGTATACCTCTGGTGCCACAGTCGCCATCTGTCGAGGAGTTGCTGGTAACTTTCCACCCAAGACTGCGCCCTCTGATCCTGGCTCAAATTACTGGGCATAGTGTGCAAAATTACCAAACTGGCCGTCTGCACATCTCCGGTGAGATCCACATATTTTTGAATGAGAGGAAGGCAATCCACTGTCAATCCTGAGAAATAATAATGTATTATATATACTAATAGAAATTTTGAGAAGGAAGAAATGATGATACCAACCTGTTAACAATATGCCATCTAAGTATCCTTTTTCTGTCATTGTTTCCGTTAATTTGGTTAAAAATTCCATTAACTGAAATTACAAAATTTTATTTTACTTGAAAATATAACTTTGACAGAGCTGTTAACTTCATTTCCAATTAAGAAATATCATCAGTATAAATGGAGAATATTACTAGGTGGAGGTTGAAAAACAAATTATGCTGCAATGATAGTTATTGCAGCAGTGTTTACTTGGTTGGCAATTTCACCCATTGTTGTTTTTGTAACCATGCCTAACAAAATTACAATCCTGTCAAGTGTGAATTTTTTATCTATATTAGTGTGTGTGAAGCAAACTCTGAGTTGAGTTTCTGTTCCAAGTTGTGGAATGACAAACTGATGTCCATGATAGGGAGTCAGGGAAGGAAGTTTGAACTTGACAATGCCTTGCAAACAAGTTGACACAATTTCTGCAGTCAGCTCTTTACACCACTGCGGGTTCCCAAAAGGCTCGATGAATGGGGTCTGCCTTAACATTCTTGCAACTCTACCACAAGGAAGGGGAAGGTTATCTTGACACCTATCACAGAAGTGCAGTCCAAACAATGGATAATAGATACTCTGTTGTCATGCAAACTCTGGGCAACTGTGTCAAGACTCCTCTATGGTACCAAAACAAATGTGCACAAAGGGTAATACAGAACAACATGAACATCAGGTGTCCTCCATGATAACAGTACGAATTGCTTCAACAATTTGGATGGACGTTGGTACCAAGTGAATTTAATCTGTTCACCTGAATGTAAGTATGGTTGGAAAGCAGTTGAAGACTATTGTGCCACCTGGATTTATCCTCTCTTCATAAAAGGCTGGTGCCCACATTACAGCAAGTTTGAAGTTATGTACATAGTAATACTACTTCTCCAATGTTGTACAAAATTAACTGACAGTGTTATACAATGGTAATTTCTTTAAGCATTAACCAGTGATATTTTAGAATCTCCTTAAGCAATTTTATTATATTGCTGCATAAGGTACGGTACTCCCATACTTATTATCAGGGTAATTTTTAGACTTATGACAAATATTTTCTAGGTTAGGTTCCTAAGGTTATTTTGGATCAAACACTAACAAAAAGTGGTGTACACTTCAATGTACTTAATACATTAGACTCATTTATCTGCTAGCTACTGCTTACAAGGGAGGGTTTTCTCATATTGGTCTTACATATTAATAAAATATATATTGTTTGATAGAGGAAAAAATAAGGCCCACATTTATTCTGTCAGATCAGCTGTTCATTAAAAATACGGTTCTAAAATGTTGTAATGTAATTCATATAGAAATATTGCACCAATGGCACAGTGGTAGCATTGTGGACAGACTGGGAATATCAAGGAAGTGAAATGCTGAAGGCTTTTACTTTTATGGTTTAATGTAAATGTGAAAAAAAAAAATACAATGTTTAAGACTAATTAATTTTTTACAATGAGCACATGAAATGAAAGCATTTCTATCACAATCTTCTAATGAATGCTTTATGTCAATAACATTATGAGTTTCTCTAATGTTCTCTTCTGTCATGCATACATTAATGTGTGTTTAAAAATAGAAGCACTTAATTGGTTATATGTAAATGCCCAGTCTGGCCATTGCGCCATTGGTGTAATATTTCCATATAAATTACATTACAACATTTTAGAACCCTGCTTTATGTAACCAGATGACCTGATAGATAAAATACACATAATCAGTTTGTCTTTTTATTAAGGATGCACCGATTAAGCGGTAAGTAATCGGTAATCGGCCATTTTCCCGATTAATCGGTTTCGATAATCGGCCAATTTTACATTTTGGTATTTTTGTTAGAATGTTACGTACAGTACAATGTTAGTAATAAAAACTAATAAATTTCTGTTATATATTTATTATTTATTACATGACAAACTGAATATTAAAAAAATTTTACAATTCAAATTATTCCTTTTATCGATACATATTATAAGTATAATATAACGTATAATATAAAGTTTAAACTTTACATAAGAAAAAGTATTGAATAGGTTAAGAAGAAAAATTAAATTTTTATTTGTTTCATAAGTTTAAAGTTTAAACATATAAAACAAATAAAAATTTAATATTTAAACTGTAAAACCCTTAAATTGTAATGCAAAAACATGAGAATTTCATCATTTTCAGGGCATAACCTATTTTTTGCCGGCTCATAAATGTTACCTCCAGTGCTGAAAATTTTTTCACTTTCAATGGAAGATGCTGAGGCACTTAAATATTTCATAGCTATTTTGCTCAAATTAGGGATAAATGTAAATATGTTTCTAATTCTTGATCGAAACGTTTGTTCGTCTCTTTCGTTTTTTTTTTTTTTTTTTAAAAACATGCTATTCTTCATTCTTTCGTTTACCAGAAGCTAATTCATCAAATAAATCAGAAAAACTTAGAAATTCACCTCCATCTTGATCACCTCCAGAAGTAGAAGCTTCAGAATTTAATTCTTATTGAGATTTCCTCTAGCATATCCTCTTTTTGAAATTTCATTTTGAATCTAATAAAAATGACAAGCATAAAGACTTGTTTTCTATATATGCTGAAAATCTTTTTTTATTGGATTTTCTAGTTCTTCTGTTGTGGTATTAATGCCACTAAAGGAACTACTGATCTTTGCTTTTGATAAGAATAATTTCAGAGTCTCTATTGTGGGAATTATTGAAGATGAAGTGGCTTCTCGTTTGCTGGCTTTCCACAGTAATTTCTTTGAATGGTTTTACAAGTAGAACAATTTTTTCAACGAGAGACCACTGATATGGGCTCAACGTAGGAATTTTATTATCTATAGCATATGTGACAAGGGCCTTTTGCTGTTCCAACATGTAGTATGTAGAATTCCAGCGAGTAGGAACATCTTGAATTAATTTGTGTTTCTGCAAACCTAACTTTTCTTGCAAATCTTCCAATTTGATTACAGCTACAGCAGAATGATTAAAATGTGTGACAATATTTCTATTAACTGTGATTATAGTTTTCACATCTTGTTTATAAAATATGCATTCGTTTAGTGTCAGCTGCAGCATATGTATAAAGCATGCTAATGCTTTTAAGTTGCAATTCCTAATTCCAGCTACCAGATTTGCTGCAGAATCTCTTAGTACTAAGAATATCTTATCACTTGTCAACTTATACTGTTCAAGAACAATTTTTAACTGTTCACTGATTCGTGTAGCTGTGTGGGAACCTTCAAAGGAAATGATTTGCAAAACAGCTCTTTCCTGCTGAAAATCATCCTTCAACCAGTGGGTTGTTACACTTAAAAAAGGAGAATTGTTTGTAGTTGCTGTCCAAATATCAGCGGTTAAAGAAATATATTTTGTTTCTGTTAAATACGGAGACACTTCAGCTTTTTAAACGATGTCAAAGTTTCCATGCGTCAACAATTAAGTGTTGAGATTTATTTTAGAAACAAAGGAAGAGATTGTTGATTTTGCGAGGATATTCGATCGTCTTTTGTTTACCTGACCCGAGGGAGATGGAAATACCAGGTGGAGAAAAATGGGTTTTTTCCACATTATAATTAACTGTATAATTAACTCCAGGATCTCACACTATTAATGCAATAAATTATTAACACTAATCGGCCGATTAATCGGTAATTGGCCATTTTGCTTATCGGTGCATCCTTACTTTTTATTAAAATGTAAGACTGACATGAGAAAACCCTCTCGTGTTAGTAGTGGGTGTTTCAAACATTATTTTTTTTTCACCTAACAAACTTAGAGCAACACTTCTTGCATTTATTGCCATGGAAACTAACTGGACATCATAGAACTATCTCTACTGCTAGGTTTATGATTAGTGCTTCAAACATGCATCTAAGTTTATAAAAAACAGTGTTACTTTGATGGCACCTTGGAATTCGCACAAAAACAAAAAATTACAATATGTAATAGAAGTAAATTTTTCACAATAGCGAGGTTGCGACCAAAGTTTTCAACATGAAAACATGTATGTTGGACGTTTGGTGCTGCCATCCTGTAAGCCTAGAAGTTTGACAATGGCATTTGGAATATCAATGGAATCATGCTCGATGTTCCAAACATCATTGTCAAACTTCTAGGCTTACAGGAAGGCGGTGCTGAACGTCCGACGTTCACATTTTCACATTGAAAATGTTGGCTGAAACCTTGCTATTAATTAATTACTACTGGTCTTTTGCATGGATTGTAGGGTTGTGGCAAATTTAAATTTTAGATGTATAAGTAGTTTGTACCTATGATTGGAGAATATTTTTTGATATTTACTCTTACTCGCCAGGCCAATGGCGGTAAAGGCAAATCATCATCATCTCAGCAATATTTGTAAAACTTTTACCTTCAAATAAATCCTAACAGACATCAGTACAGAGTTTTTTGTGCTACTGAGTAGAGTTCAGAATCAAGGGTAGAAATTGATTTAGCAGGTCACACAGCATTATTGACTTATTATATTTTACCTCCAATAGGCTTTTTTATGACTAGAGAAAATCATTATTGTGATTTTTAAGAGCATTTAGTTCTGAATTAATTGTTTGATTCAAATAAAATATTTTTAATATTTATTTCAACATTTTATAATAGTCTATTCATACTTAATTAGCTTCATAATAAATATGAAACTATTAAGTTCAATTGAACCTACTTTAAAAAGTTTTGATCAGAATTTAGATGTAGTTTGCCTTTAATTAAATGTTATTACCTTGTTATCTGAGAGAAAAATGCAAGCAAATGCCACTCTGTCTTGAACTGCAACATCATTTTCTTTCTGAAAATGCAAAATATACACATTATATACATAAAATATGTGCATTTAATTTTGTACAAAATTATTTACCAATACTTCGTCGTAATTAGAATTTTCGGAAGTAAGAAAAGCAAACATGGCTCTCAGGTATGGATTCTTTAATTGCGAACGTATTTTGCCGCACGTCTCTCCCCACAGCGTGTTGTCGTCTTCGGAATATCCAGAAAGTGCCATGGCCACAATGTTCAGATTACTCTCTTTACCTGAATCAGAGAAAGTTAACACCGGGAACCAATATATTTTATTTTGCATGTTGTGGAGAGATTAGAACTTTACCGAGAGAGGATTGGACAAGTGCTCCCTTTTTCAAGATCTGAATGGCGCTGCGGATATCAAGATTGAAGACAGCTATCATGGATGCTCGTTCGAAATGTTTGTCGGCCTGCAACCTGAACAATCAGATTTCAATTACGAATTTATTTTTATATTATACATATTAATATATGAAAGGTTTGAGTATAAAAGATGGTAGCTTATGATAGATACCATGACCATTAGTATAATGATTGAACACAGCATTGTATTTTTATTTTTATTAAGATACATAATATTTAGAGAAATAGAAAAATTATGGTGCTTTACCATCTTTTACCTTGAACCCTTCATATAAGTGATAAAATTTACCTGTCTAAAAGAAATGCCAGTGAAGTTCTATCTGATGGTCTACCCCATCCGCAGAGTTGTAATGCTCTGTCTCTATCAATTAAAAATATATTTTAATACCAATAGTAAATAATAAAATTGTATTATATGTGAACTTCACACTTGCTGACTCATAAAAAAGACAGATATACATTGATATTTTGATTAGGAATAATTTTATATTAAACAAGTTGTGTGTAGTGTGTGTTCTAAATGATTTTCCTTGTTGTTTTAATACATTACTTTATTTCATTCAGATTTTGTGAATCCTGTTTTAAAATTTGAGACTTTTTAACTGGGCATTATTTAAAGTAAAATCTGCATGATGTAATAAAGTTAAATTTTTTTGAATATTTATAGTGAATATCTGCAATCACTTTAATCCTGTTAATCAGGTTGATTGTTTCTCACAGCTCACACTATCTAGGTTAAGTAACTTTTAAATATTACATATGCATTTTGGGCTAATGTATTATCTTATCCCCACTTCAGTACAGTTTAAAACACTATTACGATAATTATAATATAAAGTAATTATGTTGTTTATTATATGTAAGTAACTGTAAAACTGAACCACTGGCACACAACTTAAGAAATGAAGTATAAGCATAAGTACATTTCCAATGTTATTCTGACAAATTATCAAATGGAACTTTTAAAAAATTAGTATATAATTTCTAAAAGTACTATATCACATGAAATACCAAAGTACAATAAGTATTTATTAATTTATCTTTTCAATAAACCACTATAATTTATTACAACCACATTGAAAAATGTGGTTGTAATAAATGCATAAATGGAACTATAGTAAAAACTAGTTTTCTGCCAAAAAGAAAATATAAACAATTATAATCATGTTGGGATATGAGCAAAAGTGCACTATGAGTGTTATCCCGTTAAATTATTAAATGCAGATGATTAAAAAAATAATCATCCCATTAAAAACCCAAAAAATTCTTTTCACAGTAACTACTTAGTATTTTTACACCACAAACACACTGTCAACTTGAATACGAGGAAGAAAAATATAGACCAATAGTTGATTTTCAGTTTTCAATATTGTATAATTTAGAATAATATATTAAAAAACAACGATTAATGGAAATAGAATATTCACAATTTGCTGTAGGAAATGCAGATGATGTAATTAATAAAATTAAGTAAATTAAAAAAGAGAAATTCAGATAAATTTAGATGTTAAAAATATGTAACAATCTATCTGAGTATAGGATGGAAATTAAGAGAGATGAATTTGATTAAATTAAAAGGGGAAAATTGGTTTATACAATTAATTAAATTTGCCTATAACAATAATTATTTTGAAATAGATGATAACTTCTACAGACAGACTAATGGTATTAATATGGGGTCAAAGATGAGGCCAAAATTAGCAGAAATTGGTATGAAAGATTTAGATGAATTAATAAATAATATAAAAGGTGCAAAATTATGTGTTAGATATGCAGATGATTATTTAATAATATATGATGATAAACAAATAAAATGAAGTAACCTTTTGTAATTATGTAAAATTAACAGTGATATAAGTTTGTTATGGAAATGGAAAAACAAGGAAAATTAAATTATTTAGATATAACCATAGTTAATGGGTTAGATAAATTCACGTTTTATCTACATTACATAATTTCTTATAAGTTAAAAACTATTAATTATAAATTATATTGTCCAGAAATTATGAAAAAGAATGCTTATACTATGGAATTAACAAATATATATGTTAGAATGTCAAATGTTAAAGATAGAGTTAAAAAATCTGGATAAGAAATTTACACTTAATGATAATCCAAAATTAAAATAATGGCACAAACAATAGATACGGTTATAGATATAATATGAAACAATATAAACAAGATAACAGTTATTCCCAATATACAGAAAAGAGTAATATATTTGAAAAATGTAACTATATTCTTAAACAGAATTATATGTTTGGCCCTGTCTTTGACAAATAAAATATCACAAAATATATGTAAGAAAATTAATGATAATGTTAATATGAATGACAAAAAGGATCTTGAAAAAGAAGGCACTGTATACAAGTTAGAATGTACAGTAAATGTACTAAACCAAAATTCTATATTGGTGAAACAGGCAGTACATTTGAAAAAAAGAGTTAGATAATACAAAGTGGTGATATGTCTTAAGTATCTACAATCACCTTGGTATGAGCATTCGGATTTAAAAAGTTGTAGAATTAATAGAAATAAAATAAAAATTCTACACATTGAAAAAGATATTTATAAATGTAAATTTAAGGAACATATGGAAATTAAAAAACACCCCAAAGGTAAAATTGTGAACATTTCTGATGGTATTAATATTGATAATGGATGGTAAGAACTAATAGAGGGCTTATCATCAGTATGAGTTATAACAGGTGCAAACCCAGGTAGACTTTAATGTAAAATAAGTAGGGATATAGTTCAGTGGGCAGAATGTAGTAGTGGTTTAAATTTAAAATGATAATACAGGTAACCCCTGTATAACATGGCACTCCTATAGCACGGATTCACTCTAACACAGTTTGAGAATTGGGACCATCCCCATATAACACGGTACTGTTATAGCACAGATTCACTCTGACACGGTTCGAGAATTGGGTAAAACCATCATACAACATGAAATGTAATAAATTTTTACATACTTAAGTACTAATAGTTCACGAAAATTATTATTTTCGTGAACTATTAGTACTTAAGTATGTAAATTTTCTTTTCTCGCCTTCTGTCGATACATATGGTCCTTCTCGAAACTTGTTTCAATGTTGTCAGATCGCAACGCTTCTGCTTCTGATGTTTCCAGACGTTTTTCCCTTTTTCCATACTTGCTTTATTCTTCATAAGTGCTTAGCACCATATAAGGAAATTTATAAAGATCTTTTAACTAGAAGCAAGCAATCTAAAATTACATACACTTTTTGCAAAAGGTAAAGCATGGATCTGAAGATAATGCAGAAAAATGCTCAGAAGATAAGGATAACTTGCCAAAAAGAAAATGCTCTCGGTTAATAGTACTTTTAGTGATGACGAAGGAAACATTGTTTAATTTATATTAATATGTATCACTTAAGAAAATTCTAATAAAGATATTTATCTTAACTATGAAAATATAATAGCATGTTTTTTTATAATTTTTGGAACCTAACCCTCCTTTTCGTACTAGTTCTTTGTTTCGTATAACACGGATTCGCATAACAAGGCAATTTTTTGGAACATAACTCCCATTTTATATGGGGGTTACCTGTACTGTACTACAAACATATGGTTTGAACAAATTAATAAGGAATATTCTGTTTTTTATTAATGTTATCATGAGTTTAATATGTAAATTTTCAATGATAGGATCATAGTCAATGGTGTATTTATGGATATAAAAGTAGTTACTGTAAAAAGATTTTTCTGGGTTTTTAATGGGATTATTATTATTTTTAATCAACTGCATTTAATAATTTAACAGGGTAACACTCATAGTGCACTTTTGCTCATATCCCAACATGATTATAATTGTTTATATTTTCTTTTTGGCAGAAAACTAGTTTTTACTATAGTTCCATTTATGCATTTATTACAACCACATTTTTCAATGTGGTTGTAATAAATTACAGTGGTTTATTGAAAAGATAAATTAATAAATACTTATTGTACTTTGGTATTTCATGTGATATAGTACTTTTAGAAATTATATACTAATTTTTTAAAAGTTCCATTTGATAATTTGTCAGAATAACATTGGAAATGTACTTATGCTTATACTTCATTTCTTAAGTTGTGTGCCAGTGGTTCAGTTTTACAGTTACTTACATATAATAAACAACATAATTACTTTATATTATAATTATTGTAATAGTGTTTTAAACTGTACTGAAGTGGGGATAAGATAATTCATTAGCCCGAAATGCATATGTAATATTTAAAAGTTACTACAATAAAAATTATACATCATTANTTTTACAGTTACTTACATATAATAAACAACATAATTACTTTATATTATAATTATTGTAATAGTGTTTTAAACTGTACTGAAGTGGGGATAAGATAATTCATTAGCCCGAAATGCATATGTAATATTTAAAAGTTACTACAATAAAAATTATACATCATTAACCTGGATAAAGTGAGCCGTGAGAAACAATCAACCTGATTTACAGGATTAAAGTGATTATTATTATTATTATCTTCAATAATAATACAGTATCCCAACAAATAATAAAAATTCTAAGTTTTTATTACATGAATTTCCTGTCAAAATGATGTATGTCCAATTACAAAATAATAAAACAAAGTACAATAAAATAGTATTATTTTATGTAAATCTTATTGGACAGTTAAAGGAAAACTGTTTTGAAAAGGATTTTTGATGTTCCAAATTTCTATAATTATTTGCACTATTCATCAATATCCAAAATCAAACATTTACCTTTCTTCACTAGAATATTTCGTTATTCTGTGTGATGTGCCAAAGTTATTCACATTTTCTATACTGGAACAAGAACTGGATGAGAGGGCAATCTGCTCTGTTTTACTTGTTGTGTGAGAACTTCCACCGATGACTGTAAGGACTCCTTCATACTTCACGTCCGTTTTCACAACCGATTTTAATTTGCCTTCTTCCCATAAACTTTTCATAAGTGAACAATGTTAAGAAAAAATTTATAGACTGTCCACTCACAAACAAACAAGCATCATTCAATAACACTAAATAAATCATCTCTATAGAAAGAAAGAGAATTTATCGTTATCAGCTACTCTACAGATTAACAATGTAGAATTAAAAAAAAAAAAAAACTAAACTTGTCATTCAAGTTACAAAATATTGGAATATGAGTTCATTTTAATAAAAACAATCTTTTTTTTTGTATTTTTGTGCCATTAGACATTTCAAACGCAGACATCTACACTAACTACATGACACACATTTAAAAATAATACTTTGCTTTGTAGTGTGATGTGATGTTTCTTATTGTTTCGGGAAAACTGTTTGTATTTATAATGAAGATTCATTGTTGATGAAGCTTTGTCCTGTTTCTGTATGAGGTAACAGCATTATTTTTGTGACAGATTTTGGAAATTGTTATTTATGTTTTGTTCATGTCACTAGTGTTTTTCCCTGAAGTTCTAGTTGTATGTGTATCCAATGTACAGTACAACTGCAAATAAATATATGTTACCCTAATTTTTATGTATTTGTTGTTTTAATTGTACATTTTTCAATTAAATTCGATACTAACCTGTTTTTATATGCTTTTTATGGAAAAGTTTAAAATATTTTTAGACTTCACACTTACTCAGACTTCAACACCACCTCTATTATTAATAATACAGCATCTCAACAAACAATAAAAATTCTAAGTTTTTATTACATGAATTCTATTATTATTATTATTTTGGGTTTTGTGAGTTATACTCGGTTCACACCAGTGGCTGTGTACTATGCCGAACCAGAGTCACGGCATAGCAACCAAAACAAAACTAAAATTAAATAAGTGTGTCAGTGTGTGTTTCTGTATTCAGGAATTTCCTAACAATGTGGCATGTATTCAATATAGTGGCCTTCTGTAGTGTGAGTGATGTATGTATTTCTACTTAATTGTAATGTTCCCAGGCTTTTGTGTAGTGTGTGTGGTATCACACCTGTATAGGAGAGAACGACAGGTACAATAAGCACCCTATCCATCCTCCATAGATGCCTTATTTCCTGGGCGAGTTCTGTGTACTTGCTAATTTTTTCAGTGCATGTGTTTTGTACATTGTGAGTGTTTGGAATGGCTATGTCTATAATGTATGTGATTTTATTGTGTTTGTCAATGAGTGTGATGTCTGGTCTGTTGTGGTAAATTGTTTTATCTGTGATTATGGCTCTGTCGTAATACATTTTGTGCGTGTTATTTTCCAATACTGTCTGTGGAATATACTTGTAGTATGGTTCGTGGATGTCTGCCAATTTGTGTTTCTTTGCAAGCTCTTGGTGTATTATATTTGCTACTTGATTGTGTCTATGTAAGTAATCTGTCTGTGCCAAGAGCTTGCAACCAGAAGTGATGTGTTGTATAGTTTCTGGCATGATGTGACATTTTCTGCATGTGTCATTTGTGAGTGTTGTATCTTTGAGTATGTGTTTTCTGTAGTTTTTAGTATTTATGACCTGATCCTGTATGGCAATCATGAATCCTTCCGTCTCCCCAAAGAGGCATCCCCGATCTAACCAGCTGTTTGACGCAGTTTTGTCAACAAAATCCTGGGCCAGGTCGTAAGGATGCCTGCCATGGAGAGCCTTTTGAGCCCATGATTGCTTAATGTTGTCTATGCTTTTTATATGTTGTGTCATGTCTGTATGTTGTGAGTGTAAGTTTAATGGTGTGTTATTTGAGTCTGCTAGAGTTACTGCTTTATGTAACTGTGATGTTTCTTGTTTCTTGTAGAAAAACTCTCGCAGTGACTGTATTTGTTTGTAGTGAAGGTTAACTATGTCAATCAGGCCACGTCCGCCTTCTTTACGTGGAAGGGTTAATCTTTCTGTGGCGGATTTAGGATGATGTTGTTTATGCTTAGTAAGTGTTGTTCTTGTTTTCCTTTGGAGTTGCTCGAGATCTGTGTGAGTCCAATGTATAACTCCAAAAGAGTATGTGAGTACTGGGATGACATATGTGTTTATTGCTTTAACTGTGTGTTTTGCATTTAACTGTGTTCTAAGTATAGCGTTTAACCTACTTTGGTATTCTTTAATTAATCGTTGCTTTATTTGTGTATGTTCTGTTAGTTTGGCCTGTTGGAATCCTAAGTACTTGTAGAACTCGCCCTCTTCCATGGATTCAATAACGTCTCCATTTCCAAGTGCAAAATCTTCTTTCTTCAGGATTCCTTTTTCTATGTGAAGTTTTTTGCATTTGTCTAGGCCAAACTCCATTTGTATGTCCTTAGTGTATGAATGTGTGATTTGTAGGAGTTGATGAAGTTGTTTTTGTGTGGATGCATAAAGTTTTATGTCGTCCATGTACATGAGATGTGACAGTGTAAACTGTGTTGTTTTTTCATGTCTGATATTGTAGCCATATTGCGTGTTGTTTAACATGTTGGATAATGGGTTCAGGGCTAGGCAGAACCAGAGAGGACTCAAGGAATCTCCTTGAAAAATTCCTCGCCTAATGAATATCTCATTTGTTTGTATGGAAGTGTTACTAACCCTGAGATGTAGTGTTGTTCTCCAGTGCTGCATAGTGTTTTGGAAGAATGCAATGAGTTGATGGATGTATTTTGTACATGTGGAGAATATTTATTATTATTATTATTGAATATTATTCTTATTATGTTTTCAATGTATAAAATAAATTGAAAATAATTTTTATTTTTAGTGATAAAACTTCACTAATAATTTTAGACCCCCAAAATAATTTTTTTACATAAGATGCAAATGTAAACAATAATTGCATTTTTATTTTTATAATACAGTAAAACCTGTGTAAATCAGAACCTCACTGTACTGAATATATCTTTCCAATTGGCAACTTAGTGTTTTATTCGGGTTCCAATTTGAACAAGCTTTTTTATTATAAATATAGATCATTAAAATTATTATGTATATTTTGTGTTTAGATCTTACTAAACAATGCTTATTTTGGATCAAGAGACATCATTACTGTTTAAGGGACACCTGGAAGAAGCCAAACATACAACAAAATTTAAATTCTCTCCATTAATTTTGTTGTAAGTATATATATATATAAAAGGATATTATCCAACCAACTCCACAGCCTACGTAGCACAGGATCTTCAACCAATTCACCATTCTGCCAAAGCTGTTCCATCTAAAAAAATTAAAGATATTTTATATTTATGCATTTGACTTAAATGATTTGTTTTTCACCTAACATAATAAAGGTCTTTACTAGTTGGTTTATAATACTAAAATATTAAAAGTTTATGGGAAAATGTGTCTGGAAAGTCAGAATTTAAGTCTAGGAATTGAAGCTAAATATGATATTTATGAAGAAGAATGTCTCTGTTAAATCAAATCATCTTAAAGTATTAACTTTATATTATAAAGAAGAATGCTTTCATTTTTCTATAACATGTTAACAATGGTTATAAAGTAATAAAATTGATAAATAAATAAAATTACCTTTAATCCATAATCTAAAATAGCTCTTTGCCTCATTTTGATCGAAAGGTCATTAAGACAATCATAAAATTTATCTCTAGAATCAACACATTGTAATAGTCTTCTTCCCTGAGTCCAAACTATTTCTGAAGTTGGTGACCAATTCTGGAAACAAATATTTTAACTATTTATGAAAATGTAAAATGTAGTTTGAAAAATTAGAAGTGTATAATTGTGGAATTTCTAATTGAGCTCACTAGTGTAATGCGATCAAAAACAGTGCAGTCGCCGACGTGACCAGAGTGCGTGATGGTCAGCATTCTGTTTTCTTGTCCAGGATGCCAGGCAAATGATGATAATGAATGCTGTCCAAAAGCTGAAATATTTACAATAAATTCTAACATTTCTAATATTTGATAATCTTATAATTAAGATTTTGAAAATGTGCATCACTGCAATTGTAAAAAGTGCTTTATTCAGTACAGGATTTATAGCTGTTTTTTCCCTAGCAAAAACTTTATTTGGAGTCAAGTTGTATATGGTTTTTTCACAAAACTGACTGCATAAAGAGAAACTTAAGACCAATTCTTAATATGTAAGAATAGAAAATGATGCTAAAATAGTTTAACGGGCAACATTGTGTATTATTCACAATAAACATGCATTCTTTTTTAATTTGAAGGGAAAATCTGTGATGATTTTATTTTTCTATACTTCATATCCTACAATTGTTTGTACTATTAAATACTACTCTAAAAATAGTTTTGTTTTAAATAGTTTAATTAATTTATCAAAAAGACTGAATCATTTCTAGATTTATTAATAAAACCGAGATTTTAAATAACTATCATAACAATTGTTAATAAATTTACAACAAGCCCTATTTTAATGGACTAAAAACTTTTGCCCCAAGCTGGCTTTAATCTCAACATTAAATGTGCTTTAATCTATAGAATTATCTTCAACATTCTGCATGATTGTTTACCTAAAAGATTAAGTAAACTTTATTCTGTAGATTAATGAAGAAACAAGATGTCTGATCAGTTTTGATTATGATGTGTATAATCTATTGAAATAAAGTTTATCCTAATAGATCTGATATTTTAAAAAATATCTGCCTTATAAATATAAATTTAAAATCAATTTTGATTTTTATGCTAATTTTCAAAGCTAAATTAATCTACTTTATATAACAATTATTTCTTATTATAAAGCACATAAATTGAAATATTATAGCATGTATCAAATGTACTAATACACAGTATATTTTTGTTTGCATTCCAATCAGTCCCACTTTTTATTTACTCATTTTTGTTTCTCCATCTTGTTTACCATTGCTCTTGGTAACACAACTGTGCATAAAAAATTTTTGTCAGCTAACTGGCCATTAGCTATCTGCAGAGTAAAATTAACTTGTGCAACAATTTCAGCTTATTCTTTAAAATGAGTTAACTTAAAACTGGTGCAACCAGCCCCAAAGGATATAACTAAAGAACCTTTTCTTTATTCATCATTATGGTAGATTAAAAGAGGTTGGGTCAACAAGTCAATGAATCAATGAGTATAAATTATTTTATGTACATTATAAGTTCATTATTAATCTGTTTTAAATTATGTTCAATTTAATGGACTTATGGCAATGGCGAATGTTCCATTCCCTCAATTAGTCTGTTAAATTGAAGGTTTACTGTGTATTTTCTTATATGTAAATAAAAACATTTTAAAAGAATTGTTTATTAAAAATATTCAACAGAATTATAATTTTTATATTTGCATTTGCTAGTATTTGCTTAATGTCACAAACTTACGATTCACAGAATGTTCCACAATTGTGGGTTCTATCTCATCGCTGCCAATAGAAACTTGTTGTATATTATACATTTTTATAAAGGAACTCTCTCTGGCAAGAGATGAAAGTGTGCTGTTCCTGAAATATTGACCGAAAATTTGAATTAATAAATTTGCTCAAAAAATATTAAAAATGGTGTAAGAAAAATTCTTTACCTTGTAGGACACCAAGCTACTTTTGCAATATGCCTCACTTCTTGAAGAGTTATAACATAGAAGATAATTAAGGAATTATAATTTAAACTTTATATTCTTTTCTTATACATATTAAGGATACTGGTTTTTCAAAATTTCTTACATCCCATAAAACCACCTGGTTCTAGAAAAGAATTTTAGAATTATCCATCATTTTCAAAATTATCATTATCTTAATTTAAAGAAATGTAAATTAAAGGTGATCAAATTACTTCTACAAAAGAGGCTAATCTATGTTCAAAAAAAGGATCCACGCAAACTCCATACACTGCTTTTGTCGTGGTGACATTATGATGTTTTGATGTATCTGAAATGATATTTCAATTTATAATTGAAAATTTTGTAAGTTAAAATTAATATACAAACACATACCTCTGAGATCAAATATTTTCAAAAATTTATTATTCATGCCACATACTAAGGTCTTAGGTTGATTACCAAACCATTGTAGAGAATTTGTTGTTTCGGATAGTCCTTAAATTTAAAATAGATCAAGATTATATATAAATAATTAATAAGAACAATAAATTTATTTAAATACCTAATTCTACCACAGCTCTAGAACTAGGCTGGAAGGCATGATCGTGCATCATGTTTCCGAAAGCCTGCCTTTTTTCTGGAAAATAAAATCCATCGCCGGAAACAGAGATCTGAAAAGACGGCGATTTGGTGACGTCCCAGACGATTATGGCATAATCGGTTCTGTATTTTTCTAAACCGGCTGCCAACTATAACAATATACTTATTGTTTAAATTACCATCAAAATATTTAAAATAAAATTAAGAAGCTTTTTCTCCCTTACCAAATTACATTCCACTGGATTCCAAGCTATGCTATTACAAGGTCTAGTGTGTCTTGGAACTAAAATAAATTAATTTTAAGATAAAACTGCAAATATATTTCCAATATTGATAAAGCAAAAATATCATTCACTTATTATTTTATGCAATAATAAAGACATTTACGCATTAATATTTGTTCTTACCAAATTCTCGTGATAAATGATCTGCCAAATTAACACCATTAAAGCTAGAATTCCAAGGAAATAAATAGTCATTATTAATAAGTTTACTACAAATTTAGCTAGTTTAAAATATCTGGTGTTATCTGATGAAATATAATAATAAAAACAATAACTAGAACAAACCTTGTGAGAACTGCTTTTCCATTTTCTAAGCCAACAGCCAGAAGATTACACAAATCGGGTTTTGGATACCAAGAAACACACTAAAGATTATTTATGTTAAAATTAAATTTCTGCTAAGAACAAAAACTTTGAAATTCTAATCTAATTTGTAAATCAATAGAAAATTAATATTGAAAAGATGAAGTGCTGCATTATGTTAAGGAAGCTCAATTTGTGCTAAGATTTTGAGCATAAAAAAAAAAAAAAACAGCATTCTTCTTCACCATTGTGAAGTCATTGAATAGATTGCACAAAAGTTAAATATTTTATCATATGCATGTTCTTGTTTTATTAAAAATTGTTTCTGAATAAAAATTTTATATGCATTGTCCTTTTTGAATACAGTTTATCCTGATTATAATGACATCGGATGTAACGACAACTCTAATATAACATCAAATTTTTATCGGTCCCATGATTTTACTATACTAGATAATGTTAAAAAACCCACTTGTAACGACATAAAACCCTGTTTTAACATCATATTTGAAGCACTCTTAAATTTACAAAATTAAATTATAAATTTTATTTATCAAAGAAAATACTACGTGTTCAGTCCTAGGGTCAGAGTCCGCTTCCTAGAACGATTGTGGGTGGTACTGTCACCACCTGATTCAATGGGGTGAGATGCGCCACCCCTTTAAACGACGTGACAGTGGGTTAGTCTGCATAGCTCTCATACTCGTGTTGTAGTTTAGCATCAAATCAGGTAAAATGGCTAGCTTAAAAAGGAAAGCGTTAACATTAGACTGCAAAGTAGAAATAATTAAAGCAGTTGAAAGTGGAAGAAAAAAGGCAGATGTATGCAGAGACTTTGGTTTAGCAAATTCTACAGGTCTCGTAAAACTTCATCGGAAATAATGAACAAAATCTACGACTTAGAAAATGACATTGATAAACAATTTTTAGGTGAAAAATGCCTACAATCTAAAATAACTGACTTTTTTTAAGTGAATATTTTTATTGTTTCTTTTTAATTGATATACATTAATTTAACCTAAAAGTGAAAGATATTGGACTTCATGTCTATTGATAGATAAGCAAGAAACGAGAAAATTATCATCCAGGCGTTAATAACACCTGGATGATAATTTTCTCATTTCTTGCTTAATTTAACTTTTTGTTGCCTTTTGATTCGACATTATTCTCAAAACCGAAAGTGCCGCCATTATCGAAACTTGACAAATAAAAATTTTTTATAAAAAATAATTTTTGAAATTTTTAATTACATCGTTGTAAATTTAGACATAATAATGTAAATAAAGTTGATTTAAATGTTTAGTTTGCACTTTTATACATACGATATTAAATTAGATGAATTTTATAATAGATTCTTAAACAGACTTGATACTTTTATGGGACTGAAATTATGACCCCGCAGATAACGACACTCGGTTATAACGTCAAAAAATTGCCGGTTCCATGGATGACGTTATAAGCAGGTTAAACTGTATATGTAAGCTATAATAAAGAGTAGCAATAATTGTTTTTTGAAATTGGATCTTCTATACACATCTTTAGAAAGTTTTATACAGTGGAACCTCGCTTAACGAGTACCTCTCATAACAAGTAATTTGCATAATGAGCAAAGCAAGTTGCAAAAAAATGACTTGCTTAATGAGTGATGAGGAGAGGGGAAGTCCCAGATTGTGCACATGTAATATCAGTCTGTCTTTAGCACTCGTCATGCTAGCATCTTAGTGTTGCTTATGATCATACATTTTTCCAAACTTGTTCACACATTATATATAAACATCAACAACCATAGCCCATTATATAATAAACATGCCAAATGATATGCCAAATTCTTGGGCTATGTAAAGGCTATAATTAAATGATAGAAATTACTGTATTTTGATGTTTTTTGTTTTCTGCAAATCAAATTGGCATTCCGCACTAGAAGAAAAGATGATGACGATTTACGCTCCTTAACAATTTTCTTTGAATAAACAATATACATAAAATATTTGAGTATGTTTTTCAGCTTGAAACACATTACTGTATTTTACATTAATTGATATGGGAAAAATTGTTTTGCTTAATGAATGTTTTGCTTTACGAGTAACATTCTGGAATAAATTATGCTTATTAAGTGAGGTTCAAACACCTGTTTCTGATATATCCATTTTAAAGGAAAGGATACAATTCATGTACAGTATGTGATGTAAGGAACCAAGTCCGTGCTTTATTCTTATTTTACTTTTAGTTTGCTTGATTATATTTTTGTTTGGGGCTTATGTTTGGTTAGGACGAAGGTTTCCTCACCCACCACCCTAACGTTCAAAACGAGAAGATAAAAGATTAACCAACTCACCGACGACGAAACGACAGCGCCATAGCTAGCATTGCACTCACGTGCACGCCCGAGCGGCAGAATTGTAAGTCCGCATTGAAGGGGGGGACACCCCAATAGACTTTCTAGGAACTTGTGTAACCTTAACAAAACATCCCGATAATTGTTAAAGAAATGCTGTAAAAGGTTAACAAAGTATTGTCGAGAAATAAGCTACCAGATAACGAAGAGAAAACAATGTTACGTGTAGATATGTAAATGAGGGGAGTGGCTACAGTAGAACTGTGACGTCACCTCATACTATAAGTACAGTAGCTCAAGTGAAGACAGATGAGGTGAGCTCCTGAACCGAAAGCGTTGGTCTGCTGGTAGCAGCGAAGGTGTCAAATAGGAAATCCTAGTAGGAGATTGAAGGTTCAATTTTGACGATAAGAAAATAGGAAAGTCTTGAGTCGAAGAAAAAGGTTCCGAGTATTAATTGAGGTGACGGTTAGGATTGATAGTTATAAGAGAATTTGTATCTAAGTTAAGAATTGGATTTTGTTTTGTCGGAATTCCAAGGGGAATAGTTCTAAGTTAGAATAAGACTTAAGTTTGTCGGGTTGATTTGTGATTTGATTTTTGATTAATAAATTTGTTGTTTGTTTATAAATCTTGTAAATAGTATTTGTTAGACTTGATTAAACATTTATAATTGAGATTTTTTTGTGACTAACTTTGTCCTTAATTTTTTTCGGTGCACGCTAAAAGTCCAGGCCTGGCAAATAACAAACGCGAACCCGCATAAAGTACCCGTTAGGTCCCGGCTCTCTAAGAAAAATTCGTTGTAGAGCAACAAATTAAATATAGTACTTTACAGTGAGCTCCGTTAGTACAATAGCATGAACAATGGCGAGTCTGCTCAATTTCCCTCCAAGTTTTTTTTAACTTTTGCGGTGTAACAGTGAGGTTTGCTAATTGTATCCTTTCCTTTAAAACGGATATATCAGAAACAGGTGTTTGATAAAAAAAAAAAAAAAAAAACAAACTCCAGTGGAGTTATGTCAGGTGATTGTGGAGGCCACGATATGGGTCCTCCATGACCAATTAATCTATTTACCTCAGGCAATTGATACCAGAAAAAACTCTTAGATGTCTTCATTATTTTGCAGCAAACTGCATTTCATTTCACCTGTTAGTATTATTCATGTTTAGAATGATAAAGATCTTTCTTGGACACCCTGTATATATATTCATTCTAAATATCAGAGGTCAAAGAGAGTTTCTATGACAGTAATTTCTTCACATTTAGCCAATACAATTTTAGAACTTGACCAAATGCATGTACAGTTCAGAATATTACATTAAATATGTTCATATACATTCCTTGGAATGTATTTAAATATATTACAACCCTGTTTTTGTTTCTCTTTTCATACCATACTTTCTTCAGTTACTACAAAAACTAAAGTTCAGTAAATCAGGATTTCATCACTGGCCAACTTCATCAGACAGATAAGCAAACAATATAAGTATTTTCAATATTAGTTAGATCAAATCCTCATGATACAATGAATTTGTACGAGAATGTGTTAACATCAGCATAAAGTTCTCTTTCTAGATAGAGAGGCCTTTTGTTATGCTAGCACATAAGAAACTTTGCTAAAATAAATGAAAGCAGATGAATAAATGCAAATAAATATTATATCCTAAAATTTTTGTATTCGATAATTCAGTTCAAACATAGTCATTTTCCATTGTTGCCATCTGAGCATTGTTTAATGTCATATTAAAATTAAATGTGTTACAAAAAGTATTAACTAAATCAAATAATACATAAATTGATATTTCAATTATTATTATTAATCAGTATGCTTACCTTCATGTACTGGTTGTCCGAATTGACGGATAATAAAACTGCCATAGTCTTTTCAGATATGTTAATAGCTGAAAAAATTTTATTATATATTAAAAAGCTTCTAAACAAATTGTATTGTTCACAATTTTTTTATTTTAAATAATAGTCGCTATTAATTATTACCTGAAGGTTTCTGATTTCCATCTTTAGATATGACTTGATATAATCTAAGATCTGTCCCAAATGTGATAAACCTAACAAATAGAACAGAGTTAACTTTCATAAAATTAATAATTATAATTTCCAATAGTTTAATGGAATTTGAATATTTAACCAAAATTAAATATTTTATCATCATTATTTTAACTGACTGCTTTGATTGGGGTCGTATTGCCCAAACACCTAACTATCGAATGGCTTTTGAAATATTAACAAAGGAAGAATAGTTGTCGTTTATAAATTATTGTATGTTGATAAGATAATACCTATGACTATATTAGGTTAATCTATAGGACATGTTCTGTTGTAGTCCAAATGTTTAAGTAATGCCTACAGAATATTTTGAACTTGTTCTTTGTTCAAATTAGAACTGTTGTGATCTCACAATGAGGCAAAATGTGCTAAAATTGCAGCTATAAATAAGGCAAGTTAAGACCATATCAGAGCTTCAGACCATACCCATACAAATGAAAAGAAGTCAAAAGGAACTGATGATCAACCTTTGCAAGACAGAGCCTCCCCAAAATAGACCTATTTAGAATTTTGAAATCTTCAAAAATTTAAAAGTGAAATAATTCAGAACTTTCTCAAAACAAGGCTACAAAACAACTGATTTTCAGTTTACTAGAGAGGTCTAAAAGCCCATAAAATGAAAAATGCCATTGCACCATTTCCTTGGCAGAATTGGAATCAGGCTGACATTCTGTTAAGCCTGTTGTGTGTTTACACGCTGATTTCAGGAGGCTATATCTTGGAAAGGGTCATATGTAGGCCATCAGTTCCTTTGACTTTTTTTATTCCTAGGGGCATGGTCTACAGCTCTGATAAAGTCTGAGCTACAATTTTACCCAAAACGTTTCAAAAAATATTTAATCTTCATCTAATATTCAGACTTCTAACTATTTTAGTACAGTATTTTCATTCCAACAAATTATTTGTAGAAACAATTAAAATTGGCAGAATACGGCATTCAATGCTGGCAGATGAATGCTATAAAGAAATTCCAAATCTATGAATTTTGAGAATTAATTTTCCGCAATTTAATGTTGTGCTTATCTTAAATTATTAGCTCACAATTCTGATTTAGCCTATAGTTATAACATTATAATACAAGAAAACTAATTTTCTGTAGTTTATTATATTAAATATACAAGGTATCCCAGAAGTCTTTCCCTGATTACAAACATGCAGAAGGCAGAAAATATGACACACAGACACATATTTTTTATCTTGAATTGCAGGTAACACATTTAAGTTTTTGTGTGTACTGTACATACATACTCACTTACTTTGTTTGTTACAGAACAATTATAGCCAATACCTATCTTGATATGTTGCAGTTATTTGTTGTGCCACAGATTCAGGACATTCCGGACTTAATTTTCCAACAAGATGGTGTGCCATCTCATTGGTGGTTAGATGTTCATGCCTATTTAAATACAGCATTTCTGGGAAGATGGATCGTGCATGGTGGTCCCATCAACTGGCATCTGCGATCACCAGACGTAACACCACTGGATGTCTTCCTTTGGGGTTATGTCAAGGTTATGTCAATGACATTGCAGCATTATGGTGCAGAATTACTGACATCATAACATCCATCTCTCATGATATGTTGGCCAACACACAGGTGAAATTGGAATATTGCCTGAATATCCTTCAAGCAACGAAAGAGCACATGTCAAAATTTATTAATGAGTATGTATGTACACACAAAAACTTGAACATGTTACCTGCAATTCAAGATAAAAGATATCATATTTTCTGCCTTCTGCATGTTTGTAATCAGAGAAAGACTTCTGGGACACCATGTATAATAAATAAATTTTTATTACCTGTCTTCTTGATTTGGAGACCACAAAATATCCAATTTTAAACTGCTCATGATTATCTTAAAAAAGTAAAAGTAAAATTACTTTAATAATGGATTTGTATTTATAAAAATAATAAAATATTACAAATTACAATTAAAAATCTACTAAATATATTTTTAAAATAGAATTTGTGTATTTAAATTAATAAAATAATCAACAATATATGTATTAAGACTATAAGAATGTTTGAAAATAGCTTACGTTTAAGCATGTAACAGCCAAATAATGTGATATGTTTGAATTTTGGGCATGACAATTATCTCTGGTCAAAACGACACCGAAGTAAGAATGGGTTTAAAAGCCATCGAATCACCATAAAGAGTGAGAGAAGTGCAAATATGGCAAACAGAAACTGGAAAAAAAAAAAAAAAATCAATCAGTTAGGCTAGCACTTCTCAATCATTTTGAAGTCTGGGAACACTAAACTGACATTTTTTCCACAGAACACTTACAATACATCAACTTTAAAGCAGAGTGGCAAACCTTTTTGAAATCAAGCACACTCAGTCTAGTAGATGATGACATTGGCATTTGCTGATTACATTACCATATAAAAATTATTTTACATTATATTGATATTTCTTTTGCAACAATTTTTAATTGTATATTTGATTTTTCGTGGAACACTCAAAGTGGCTTCACGGAACACCTATGTTCTGTGGACCACGGAATTAGGTCAAGGACACACATGCATAAAAATGTGTGGCAGAAAATGGAATCAGAAATCAGCTTTCGGTTCATTTTCTGTTTTACACTTTTATGCCAGAAAGCACATACATAGAAATTCTGGCTGAATAGGAAAAGCCACCACTACTGCCACTAACAGTGCTACATTTTATTAATTTTTTTCCTCTCACATATCCCTTTGTACCTTCCATTTTTTCTCCTCTGCCTCTGCTATAATTTAGAAAATTTAAATTAATATACTTGTATTCCGAATTGAAATAACATGTGATCTAAATACTATACAGGTAGCCCTCGGTTTACGCTGCAGTTCCGTTCCCACAAAAGCCGGCGCAAATTGAATTGGCATAAAACGAACCCGTATTTACAGTGAGGTATAGGGTTAGGTTCTACATAAGTGAAAAATAAGCTAATAATTTTGTTTATTAATACAATATAATACAAAATACATATAAATTTAATTTTTAAAATGTATTTTAACATAAAGTAAAATGTTTTTATTTAAAAATTTTAGTTTCGAATTTCTTACATTTTTTGGAAAAAAGTATCTAAAAATTTTAGTTTCGAATTTCTTACATTTTTTGGAAAAAAGTATCCATCTTTAATTGTTTACATTTTTTATTTCTTTCATTAAGAATTTCGAAATATGGTCAAATATGATGCTCCTGTTTACATTTGCACTTCGCTCCCAATCATTGTTTAACTCACAAACTTCATTCATCAAACTTTCCTTAGTTGAAAAGATATGTTAACCTGACGTAGAGCTAAAGATGAGCGAAGACACTGATTGGTCGACCACCAGTCGCCGTAGTGCGTATATAAGGTCAGTTTGAGCAGGAAAATTCAAGGTGGCTAAGGAGAGATAAATATCATCTGGCCAACGAGAAGTAGATTTGTCTCACTAACGATAATTTGTGATCGCCGGAAGTGCTATTGCGTCGTAAGGTGTTTTCCTGAATGAACTGATACGGGATACATTCATTGGCGCTATGGATTCGGATGCCATTTATTGGACTATTAAGTTTAATATCTTGACTCGTGGGTACCTAAACCTTTAGTATTTTAATGTTAATTTAATGCAAATGTATACATACCCAATAATATTAAATAGAAAAAATAAATATATTTAATAAAAATCTTTGTTTTAACGAATGTACAATGTCGCAGCTCGGTAAATATGTCAACACTGAAATGAAAATCAGTCTAGCATAGGGAAAATCGGGGAATTACACCTTGAAACGGCAAATTGCACAGCAGCGTTATTGTGAATCGGCGTAAACTGAGGGTTACCTGTATATCGATTCTACTAGACCCAGGGTCGCTATATTATTATTATAAACTTTTTTATAATAATAATATTATTTTAAATTAAAAAAAAATTATATTTAGAATATTACTATGTAATAAATAATTTAATGTAACAGTGTAATAAATGTAAATGTAGTAAATGAAATAATTAAATAAATAATGTTCAATTTTGTCCTTTTATTACTAATATAATAAAAAACAGAATGAAGGTGACATTAAATTATTAAATTAAATATCTGGTGAATTGTTTTACATTATTTTACATAGCAAAGCAAAGTAAATCGAGTTTTAAAATATTTTTTTTCTTTGGCATTTGCTCCTTCCTTAATGAGTATTTGCAAGATACTCATTAAAGAAAGGAGATAACAGGGCATTTAGAAACAGTGGAATGAGCCAACTGTCCCTTTTATCTTTTGGTTATCTGACTTTACATCTTAAATAAAAGATAGTCTTGCGTCTTTCTATTTGATTCAATCTATTAAGTTATTTGCTCTGCACACTCATGCAAAATTTATATATATATATATATAAATTTTGCCTGAGTGTGCAGAGCAAATAACTTAATAGATTGAATCAAATAGAAAGACGCAAGACTATCTTTTATTTAAGATGTAAAGTCAGATAACCAAAAGATAAAAGGGACAGTTGGCTCATTCCACTGTTTCTAAATGCCCTGTTATCTCCTTTCTTTAATGAGTATCTTGCAAATACTCATTAAGGAAGGAGCAAATGCCAAAGAAAAAAAATATTTTAAAACTCGATTTACTTTGCTTTGCTATGTAAAATAATGTAAAACAATTCACCAGATATTTAATTTAATAATTTAATGTCACCTTCATTCTGTTTTTTATTATATTAGTAATAAAAGGACAAAATTGAACATTATTTATTTAATTATTTCATTTACTACATTTACATTTATTACACTGTTACATTAAATTATTTATTACATAGTAATATTCTAAATATAATTTTTTTTTAATTTAAAATAATATTATTATTATAAAAAAGTTTATAATAATAATATAGCGACCCTGGGTCTAGTAGAATCGATATACAGGTAACCCTCAGTTTACGCCGATTCACAATAACGCTGCTGTGCAATTTGCCGTTTCAAGGTGTAATTCCCCGATTTTCCCTATGCTAGACTGATTTTCATTTCAGTGTTGACATATTTACCGAGCTGCGACATTGTACATTCGTTAAAACAAAGATTTTTATTAAATATATTTATTTTTTCTATTTAATATTATTGGGTATGTATACATTTGCATTAAATTAACATTAAAATACTAAAGGTTTAGGTACCCACGAGTCAAGATATTAAACTTAATAGTCCAATAAATGGCATCCGAATCCATAGCGCCAATGAATGTATCCCGTATCAGTTCATTCAGGAAAACACCTTACAACACAATAGCACTTCCGGCGATCACAAATTATCGTTAGTGAGTAACAACACTGAGTTGCT